ATACAACACACACACTATACATACTATACTATATAACTACTACATAATACTAAACTACATACTATACATACTATATATTATAACTATGTATGTATGTATGTATGTATGTATATGTATATATATATATATATATATATATGTATGTATGTATGTATGTTTGTATGTATGTATGTATGTACATATATGTATAGATATACTTGTACATATACATACACATACACATGCACGTGCACATGCACATGCACATGCACATGCACATACACATTCACGTACACATACACTTACACTTACACTTATATACACACACATATATATAGATATATATATATATATATTTATATATACGTATTCGTACTGACTGGGCATTTTTCTCTGTGCATGTATAATATATTTTTCCCGTCTCATCCATCAGTAACCTCCGCTACCTTGCTTATTCTCTTTGTCATTGGTCTCTGCACGTACAGATACAACCCTTCTGCGCCAACTATGGCCGAACTGAACACTACGAACGAGAGTGCACACATAAGTACACCAAATAACACTAACACGCGTAGATACGAGCTCGTTAGAGGTGTTGAGGATAGGTTGGGTGTAGGTATTCCCGACGAAATGTGGGGCCCCCTCTTAGATAGCAACCCGGTGGTACTGGACTCGGCGGATCTAGATCCACGCCGATCGGAGGGAGATCTAGATCTCGATCTGGATTCGGGGAATCCGGATAGTATTGCGGCCGCATCGGATACGGCGCAGCCGGCGTTTGTCTTTCGCAGTCCTCTCCTGATATACGAGGAATCGATTGCACGCGCAACTCCCAACACTGCCGACGGAGGCTTGCAGGATGAACTGGATAGGGCTAGGTATGGCAGCCTTCTTTTGTCTGCACATATACAGATATAGCTGTTGTGTTGGTGTAGGTATGGCAGCCTGCTTTTGTCTGCACATATACAGATATAGCTGTTGTGTTAGTGTAATTATGGCAGCCTCCTTTTGTCTGTACATATACAGATATAGCTGTTGTGTTGATGTAGGTATGGCAGCCTCCTTTTGTCTGCACATATATAGATATAGCTGTTGTGTTCGTGTAGGTGGGCCGTCCATACTCGCGCACGATTGTGTAAGTTGTGTATGTACAGTGTGTATTTCATGTATATACTCACAGGCACACACTTTGGCTACGTGCCCTGAGATGCTGCAGGGTGTGGTTGCGCTTAGTGTGTGGATGCAGATCCTTCTGTCGGTACCACTCTTACTGAGTTCAGCTGAGAATATTATTCTTGATTAACGTGTATTATTATGTATTATTATTAACATGTATTATTAGCATGTATTATTAATATTATTCTTGATTAACGTGTATTACTATTGAACATGTATTATTATTAACATTTATTATTAACATGTATTATTATTAACATGTATTATTAACATGTAAAATCCACCTCCACTGCATCTCACCCTTTTGGAGCGTACGCTTCTAAGTTTGACAGTAGCGCGAAATATTTCGCTTTGAAGACTGTTGCTTTGAAGCTTTGACTACTGCTGCGTTGTATTGGGTTTTAGACAAGAAATATTGACTTTCGTCGTAACATTTGGGTTTAGGTTGCGGTACGGCACAATCCACAATCGACAGCTTTCCGCGCGCCGTGACTCAGAATTCGGATCTCTGCTGCAGAACGACGTGTTGCTTGTGCAAGGGCTCCTGGACGAAGTTCGGTATGAGTCTATTCATAGATTGAGTGAGATATTTTCATCTTGTGAGTATATTTTGGTCTATAAATAGATAGTGTGAGATATGTATATCTTGGGAATATATTTTTGCATCGAGTCTGTTTAAGTCTATTCATAAATATTGTGGGGCATTTATATCTTGTGAACACAAGGGCAAGAATCTATTTTTAGTGTGAGATGATTAGATCTTGTAAGTCATGCTTGTAAGGATTTATAGATAGTGTGCGATATATATATGTATATATATATATTGTGAATACATGGCTGTTCGAGATTTCATAGATACTGTGAGATAGGAATATCTTGTTCACAATGATTTCAAGAGTCTATCCATAGATACTCTGAGAGCACATCTTGTAAAGTTGTGGCATCGTGCGAGATATGCGGGAGAAAGTCTGATACATCCGTATTTAAACACGGAATAGCGAGGGGTGGGCATTCTGAATAAACCCTAAAACCCTAAAACCGTATACTCCAAGTGGTCCGGGTCGCTATAAGGCGATCGGCATATCCCAATACACAGAGTGTGGGGCGTCTTTCGACGGTAGTATGTACACAGTATGAGATATAGGCTGTGTGCCCCGTTGCTATGGTAAAGGTAAAAGCGCAAGCGCGGTAGGAAGCCTATCGTTTAAGTGTTCCTATGCGCTGGCGTGGATCTGTATGTCGAGTGTTGCGTGTTGCAGAACTTTCGACGCCACTTTCTATGGGGCCTTAGGGTTTTAGGGTTTTTTAATGCACGAGCCTGTATGAGTTGAGTGTTGCGTATGCATGCTACCATGCTATATTTGTGTAGTAACACGGGGGACGTCTTGTAGAAGTGCCGGCGCAAACGCAGGAGAGGGCCAACATGTTATATGAGTACTTGTTCGCTGTGGAAGCTTCATGAATGCTGACCAGACCTTGCATACATTTATACATGTAACAGTACCATTGAAAAGGCACATCCGTGATGTACATGTTTTGTACACCCTATTGAGCACGTTCCTCACACACAAGCATGCTTTTATTTCTCAACAGCCTCAGCCACAGATTACCTGACGCTGATTCGCATGATACAGAGATGTCAGATTGCGTGTATCAAACTATCGCATTGACGCGGACCGATTCATCCACCAATCACAGTGATCTGTGGGTGGATATGTCGCGGCTGGACCAATCAGAATTGAGAGAATTGGCGGAAGCGGATGATATCCTTGCGAGCGGCGAAAACGTACCCATGCGGTTATATGACATGCATGTGAAGCTATGTCACAAGTATAAACAAAGAAAGGATGCCCGCGAGAAACACCGAAAACGTACCATGGAGAAGGCACATATAGACGTACTCCGGTCCGAAAGCCGGACACTGCGACAGCAACTGGAAGCGCTCACTGGCCCAGAGTGCGATGACTGGGACCGAAGCACATCTATTAATAGCCAGAGCACATCTATTAATAGCCGGAGCACATCTATTAATAGCCGGAGCACGTCTATAAATAGAACTGTGGGCAGCCTGCGGTGTGCGCAGCTGGTGCATCGGTTGGATCGACTGCATCTGCTGGTGGCGTTGCTGAGTCTCTCTGTGACGGGCAGCCTCGACCCACGGGAGACAGGCCCACACATTGCACGAGACATAAGCGTACACGCAAGTGGAGTGACTGAGGGGGGGGGTGTGGGTAGAGACACGGGTACACGCACAGGCACCGGGGACAGGGCCAGTACATTCAGGACAGGGGACGGTCCAAATCCCGATGCAGGTGCAAGCGCGAGTCGCAGTGGGACGACGGGTGTGGGCGCACGCACAGACACACACACACACACACGGGCCAGGGCAGGTACATCAGTCACCACAGAAGACTCAGTCACGCAGGATAACGGCCACACAGCCGCACGCATGTCTATGCACGCACACACCGACTCGACTGGGCCGAACGGTGGCAGTGTTGCGGTGGTGGATGGGAGTGACTGGCGCGAGAGGCTTGGGTTTGTAGGGTTTCTGAGTGATATTAGCAATGCTGTGGAGAGTACGAGTGGCGTGGGCAGCGGTGCAGGGGCTCTGGATGGGACAGGGCAGAGTGATATGCATAGCAATAGCAGTGGTGAGATAATAGACAATGCGGAGAATAGTGGTGAGATAATAAGCAATGCGGAAAATAGGGGTGAGGTAAAAAGCAATGCAGAGAATAGTGGCGAGATAATAAGCAATGCGGAGAATAGTGGTGAGGTAATAAGCAATGCAGAGAATAGTGGTGCGATAATAAGCAATGCGGAGAATAGTGGTGAGGTAATAAGCAATGCAGAGAATAGTGGTGAGGTAATAAGCAATGCAGAGAATAGTGGTGAGATAATCAGCAATGCGGAGAATAGTGGTGAGGTAATAAGCAATGCGGAGACTCTCAGTAGTGAGGAGCGTATAAGCCAATCTGTGCGTGGCTGGAATACCGGTCGTCCAACTAGGGCGTATATAGACCAGGAACACGCACGCACTAGCAATGCACCCCCCACACACACAAACACACACACAAGCACACATGCATACACCCATACACGTGCACATACGCACACCAATACACACACCAATACTCACGCACGTACGCGTGCGCCGACCCAGCCAATGATACGCACGCGGGACGACCGCGTGATGACTTATCGCGAGGCGGAGGAGGCCATGCGCGCAAGAGTTAATTTGTCACGTGACGAATTAAGCGACAGGCACAGTGTGCTACGCAGCAGATTAGACCGGGACGATGGGTCGCTGGTTGCGGTGGCTCAGGCCCTGTCTCGGATGGACCGGGACGGCCCCAGGCGGGCGGGTGCAGGTGTGGGTGCTGGTAGTAGGCGGATGAGTGGGAGGGGGTCGTCTAGTGGGGATACCACAGCGCATCGTACACAGTTGATGTTTATGGATAGTGACTCGGAGGACGATTGGACCGGTCCAGTGACGGCCAATTCGGGACAGGGTCCGGCGGATTTGGGTCCGGGAAGTCCTGATTTGGAGAATGGGGTCAGTGTTTTGGGTCGTGTGGACCAGAATGAGTTCGTTGACCTACCAACTGGGGCTGTGCACCCGTACTATGAACCCGGGACTCTTTCTGTCCCGGTGTTCGGTCTGTATCAGAATGAAATTCTGTACTTGCTCACGGCCATGCTCACGGTCAAACAGAATAACATACAGGCCAAGCTGGCTAGGTAAGGGGGTGTGGAGGATGTATAGTATATATATATATATATATATATACATACATAGGTATATACATAGGTATATATATATGTATGTATGTATGTATGTATGTATGTATGTATGTATGTATGTATATATATATATATATATATATATAATATATATATATATATATTTAATATATATTATAGTTAAGTGCGTGGTGTGGATTTTCAAAGCCAGGTAGGAGTGTGCTCTGATTTGTACAAATAGTCAAATCTATTAATAGAAGATAATCTGTCCTCTCTCTATCCATCTATTTATAGACACTTACTCCGTACCCTTTCCATCTCAGACTGGGTGTCGTGCGTATACTCCATGGTATTATGGAGAATTTGAAATGGGGACCAGCCTCTGAAGTCGATGATTTTTGCCACTTTCCAATGATCCATGGACCTATCTTTGGTATGTCTATGTATATGTACATGTATATGTAGTGTTTCCCTTATTCATATGTATGAATATATACATGTTCCATGAACCTACCTTGAGTATATACACGAACTAGCTAAGTCACTTGCATGGCGAACGTTGCGTTATACGCTGCAGGGTTGCCAGGTGTCAGCACGCCATCTGTACCAGCAAGTTATAAGTGCTATGTGATCCACAACATATACGCTGAGCATACTATGTACTGTGTACATGTTTACTACACACAGTAGTTGTTTCATACCCATTACATGCACATATATACTACACACAAGTGATATGCATAGCCCATATAGCTCGCACCTTTTATCTCCGCCTGTATTGCTGTAGGGCTCCCGTGTTACTCGAATGATAATCATACACACATATACGACACACAAGTGATATGCATAGCCCATATAGCTCACACCTTTTATCTCCGCCTGTATTACTGTAGGGCTGCCGTGTTTCTCGTATGATAATCATACACACATATACTACACACAAGTGATATGCATAGCCCATATAGCTCGCACGTCTTATCTCCGTCTGTATTGCTGTATTACTGTCCGTGTTTCTCTTATGATAACCATACACACATATACTACACACAAGTGATATGCATAGCCCATATAGCTCACACGTCTTATCTCCGTCTGTATTGCTGTATTACTGTCCGTGTTTCTCTTATGATAACCAGACACACATATACTACACACAAGTAATATGCACAGCCCATATACATCACACGTCTTATCTCCACCTGTATTACTGTATTACTGTCCGTGTTTCTCGTATGATAATCATACACACATATACTACACACAAGTGATATGCATAGCCCATGTACCTCACACGTCTTATCTCCGCCTGTATTACTATAGGACTGCCGTGTTTCTGCACGCCATCGAGTACAAGTAAGATACAAACACTACGGGTCATCCACAACATGTGCGATCGCGCACCCTCCAACACAAACGTTGCGCGGCTGTTCCTGTCTGCGGAAGAACAGGTGGAGATAGACCACATGCGTAGTGTGTTCACGGCACAAACACGCACACACATACACGCGCGTACACGCACACACACACACACATGTACACACACGTGCACACGTACACACGTGCACACGCGAGAGCAGGGTAGTACACACGCACATACACCACACGCCGGGAAAGGCGCCTGTGTCCATCCCAACACACCCCCACCCACCACAGCACACACACCCACACCGTCTCAGTCGGAGACACGGAGACGTGTGCACACAGACAACTACATACACGTGCGACCTGTAGGGCAGGCGGATACGCCAACGACTTCGTGTGTGAGTGGGCAGACGCACTCTCAGCGCTGCGTGGGTGAGACTGCGGCGGTAACCATTGGCAACCGAGTGACGGTAACCAATGGCAACGAACAACAACCCGACCGACTACTCAGTCACAGGCAGTCGTCTGCTCACACGCCGCCGCACGCACACACACCTGCTCTAGACACACCTACTCTAGATATACCTACTCTAGATATACCTACCCTAGATACACCTACCCTAGATACACCTACTCTAGACACACCTGCTGTAGATACACCTGCTTTGGATACCTACGGCACACAACCAGGGATGGGGTTCTTCATCCGTATGTTCAACTCGATGTTTGGTCGGGTCCAGACGGATGCCTCACCGCGGTTAGGAGCGGAGCCGCAACCGCAAGCAAAACCGCAAACCGCAAAACCGCAAGTTCGGTGCACCTGCAAGAAGAGAGTTGAGTGGGGCCCAGTGCTGACCGCAGGAAATGGCACGCGGAGACGGAGAGGTGTGTGTAGAGATGAACATGTACATACACACACTCCCACACCCACACACGGCCACACAGATACACGCGCTTGCACACACACACGCACAGATACACACGCACACCGGTGTGGAGATAGTCGCAGACGTTGTCGGATGAGCTGGAAGGAGGCGGCGCTGTTAGGAGAGGGCAGGGAAGCACTTGTGCGCACACAGAGAGTGCCAAGACATACGCGAAGTGGTGTTGTATGTGCATACTCGCAAGGACGGGATGGTGTGCATGGCAGGCGCACACGGGTCGAGAAGGGGGAAATGGGTGTGACAGGTAGTGACAGGGATGGCTGTGTGTGTATAGGCGCATGTGCTGGGGAAGACACTTGTGTGGTAGGAGTGGGGCACTGGTGCCAATCGGAGAGTGAGTGTGGAAGTGCGAACGAGCGTACGAGTGGGAGTGCCTGTGAGTCTGTGGGCGATAGCGCGACGGGTGGGTCGGACGGGGAGGCTGGTAGTGGACAATTAAGGAGGAGGGGCTCGGTGGGGGATGCCTGTGACAGTGAGGTGGTGAGTTATGAGGCGTACTTGAAGATGCAAAAGAGAGTGACACGTGCACTCGCGGAGTGGCATGAAGGTGGACAGGAAGATGGAGACACGCACACACACACACACACACACACACGCGTGGATAGAGACAATGGTACAGGCAATGATATGTACACACACACACACACATCTATGCGTACGCCGGGGACACCGACCGCACACACACACACTCACAGCCAGACTCTCACACACTCAGACCCGCCCACATCCCTCGCAGGGCATCAGGCTAATGCCACTGCCACAGCCACGCACACACACACACACACACACACCAACCCCCGAACAAACGGCTCACATACAAACGGCGGAGATGCCGTCTTCACCCACCGACTACGCGGCAACGAGCGACCTGCGAGACCACGAAGTGACGGATGCGCTGAGGTGTAACGCACGGCCCATGCACACACACAACCACCACATACTCACACGCCCACGAGCATTCGATGTGATATGTCAGGCACACAGGGATCAGGAGGATATACACACACACGCACACGCACACGTACACGTACATGCGTGTGTACGAGATGGCGATACGTTGGGGTGTGGGTGTGTGGGTGAGGGGTTGGGTTGTGGCACTGTGTGTAAGTACGGAGAGGAGGCAGGGGCCACGAGCCCCGGACCTTATGCGGAAATTCGGGCGGGCGCGTGGCGCAGGATGGACTGTGAGGTGCATGGCTCCGTGAGAGAGCGGGAGAATATGTACGCCAAAGTAGTACAGAATACCCTCAGCAGACACAAGCGACGGAAGCGCGGGCCGAATAAACGTAACAAGCCCAGTACGGGAACCGGTCCGGGTGCAAACGGCCCTAGTCCTATCGAGGACAGGGACCCAGACCCAGACGAGAAGCTTGTGAGCGTGAGTGATATGGAGTGGGAGACAGAGCAGGGCTATGCCGGGTGGTCGCCTGAGGTGCGTAAGGGGCAACACACCGACACAGACTATGTGCGCCGGGGGGGTCTACTTACACTTATGATCAACGCGTTAGCAAACGAACCTGTAGACTCAACGTATCGGTTCTGGATGTCCTGTTGTGTGGAGACGTATCTGCGCGGGTCGGACCCGGTTAACCAGTTGTTTGTGTTGAGAACGGGCATCCTGGGTAGGTTTTGTGTTATGCCCGATACGTGTCGTGTGGATATATCGGGGATATATATATATATATATATATATATATATATATATGTGTGTGTGTGTGTGTGTGTGTGTGTGTGTGTGTGTGTGTGTGTGTGTGTG